TTAACGAGTGGGAAAAAGCAGCTGAATTATGCTATGTCACATTTTTGACATTATGTAAAACATTTATAAACGAAGGGTTGCTCATCTCTCCAAGACTGCCCAGTAAAATATCGCCTGAAGTTAAGAATACATGTCATAGGACAAAAATATAAATATAGTTGAGAAATGCAAGGTAAAATGATATGATTATTAAAAATGAATTTGTGCGACCGAAATTCGTATGAATACGTTCTTACGATAAATACTAGCTAACACGAAAATTCATTTTTTATTTACTTGATATAATGTTTGTTCTAAAGAAGTATGTAAAGTCCTAGAGAATAAACAAAGTGGGTGCATAAGGGAAATTGAAAGATAAAGTAATAATTTATTTTAAATTTTTATACAGTTAAGCTGAAATATAGAGGCGCTAATAGCGTGAAAGTTAACTAGTCCATTAAAATCTCGCAGTGGCAGATGAACATGGATAAACGAGATGAACATAAATATGATTGATTAAGATTAGGACAGCTGTATCATTTGATTGGCTTTGTCGAGAGGAAATTGTAAGGAAGGCGAAGCTCGATTGAGTAGGACTATCTGAGGTTAAGATATGATATGCTCGAGTCAGAAGATCTAAGATTGAGTCAGTAACTTTTATACAAATTTACCCCAAGCCAGGTTCAAAAATGCTAGCTCATTGACTGATGGATGTTCAAGCGTTCAAGTGACATTATAATTAATAGGTTTACAGATTTATTTATTTACTAAAGATGTGAAGGTTGGTTTAGAAACTGTGTGGGGGCCAAATTATTGATTGATTTGCCAAATAAAAAAATGACAGATCAGATAAAAAATTAACCGACTTTAAGAGGAAATAGAAACATGCTGGAATAAAGGCGGGAGGTCAAATAAGCGAATTAGGAAACTTTTGAGCTTATTTAACGTAGTTACATAGTGCTCTTGTACCAGTGATTTAGAAAAGGCCTGCGTTTTTCAAGGTATTCTTTATTATCACATCTGTGACCGCATTGAACACGAATTGAATATTAGAAGTATCTGTGGCACAGGTGAAATGTGTGTAGATTTCTTTGCTGCCCTGGCGCCGACTTAACTGAATGAACTTCGATTGAATGAACCTCCCAGCGTCCTCAATAGTACTTTTGCCTGAAAAGTAGGAGTTGAAAGTAAAACTAGAAAGATTACAAAAACAAGTAATATTAGAAAGCGGACTTCCTGACAAGGACTTATACATTTTAATCCGCAATCTGGCAACCATTAAAAGGCCTAATAGCTTATGCAAAGCTTTTTAATATGCAATCATCATTAACTCTGAGTATACCAATTTTATAAAGGTCTGCTCGCCAAAAAGTAGAATTATCAAGAGTCTCTATTCATGTAGTAAGCGAATAAAGTTGGTTAAGAGAATAAAACAAATGAGCTTGTTATAAGTTCTAAAACGAAATTTGAGTTATTCTAGCGCTGATGCCGCTTTTATCATATCTTTAAAGTAGGCCAATTATTGGAAACGAATATTACAAACGAATGCAGCTTTTATTCGATCATAGCTGTCGTAAATTAAATTAGTAATAAAATAATAATGTATAGAATATTAACTAAAAAACGAAATATGATTTATATTTAGAACTTATTTATGAAATTAGGTCAACTTAGACTACGGAGTTCTAGCGTTAAGCCAAGGAAAGCAAAGGCATATTTTAAAACTAAAAAATATATCTGAATTATTAATGATCTAATAGTACCCTGAAATACTATCGTTCCATACACGAGTTAAACCCATATCATTGAAAAATACGATTAAATCGATAAAACAACGGCCGATTTTTACGGGAATTCAAATATAATTAGGGCATAATTATTTACAGAACGATAAATAGCAAACATAAATTTTAGCTATGGCAACTTAGCTTGACAATTATCATACAGTTATCCAAATGTGCGTTAGTCTACATTAAACACTGATTAATATGATTTTGTCTCAATGCATAAACTTCTGGTAGATAGCATTAATATTTATAACCCTTAATAAGTATCTAATTCCCCGTTCCAACTTTATCGTCTAAAAATATGAATCCTGCAATTTGGACTATTGAAGACTACTTATCGACTTATTCCACACCATATTTTGATACAGTTTAACAAGCCTCCAAAAATAAGTAAGGCTTCAGTGATAAATTTATTCCATCTAGTGATAAAAACCAAGCGTTTGTCACGTTCCCCCAGAAAATGCTATAAGCATGCGAATGAATAAGAAGTGTTTGTGCGTCGATTTAAATTTGTAGGTTTGCGCGCATACTTTATTGCAATCAAGCATGGCACTACTCTCATATTTGTATGTTCTAACTAATAAACATACTTTGATGTATACAACGGTCATCCATTGAGTAAATTTGCTTTGCTGTTATACATAATTCGCGAAAATAAAACTATCGATGTTGGAATGACGGTAAGTATGCTATCTATGAAGGCTAAATCGCACAAGAGGGGACAAAGTTCACTGGCGGCTGAGTACGAAGATAAGGGTGGATAAATGAGGTTAACTACTTACTTATATCAATCGAATATGTAACTAAAGTTTAACTCTAGACGCTAACTAATTGCAGCGAGTAAGACTCAACTAGTCTGCATTAGATACATAGATGACAATCGGAAAATGCAGGTGGGCCAATTACTTGGGGGTAAAAAACCTTTTCTATGAAAGTTTATACGCCGCTTAGAATAGCTCGGCTCGTCAGTATTTATGAACTCAAATTTATTTGACCCTTGTGAATTTAGTAACCCTTTATCTCAATTGTCTTTATCGCTGCATCTGTCCATCCTCTCTGGCCAACAATCCAGTTAGTATTAGGCTTAAAAACCATTTAAGTTAGTCCCATTTTATTTAGCTGTCACTCTTTTAAACAGACTACAAATAAAGATCTTAAGGCAACCGGATATGTCACCTCAGTCTTAGGCTAGAAAGAATCTTCATTCGAAGAAATAAGTAGTGCATCCTTTGGTATCTAAAGCTAGATAATTAGCTTTAAAGCAAAATTAGTTTTGTAGATACGAAGATAAACTGGGTTTCGATGAATCTCCTGATATAAAAGTTATTTGACCTTGTTTTCGCAACTTGGTCATAATGGTAGGAAGACTGATAGAAACGCACCTTGTCT